GGGTTGAGGTTTCGAGACGAAAGAAAAGCGAAAAAGAGATGAGAGAGAAGGAGGATTCAAGGAAAGCTTCGCAAAGATGAACGAAAAACAGAAAGATGGAGAACGGCATTGGGGGTTAGGTGGTTCGAGACTAACCGGAATAACCAAGAAACTAATGAAGGAAAGCGGAAGCAAAAAGAAGGCAAAGTCCGGCGCGGACAAAGGAAACGAAGAGGACAATCTCACCAGGACCGAGGCTGGAACCCGATGCTCGCCGGAACTCTCCATTCGATAATGACTTTGCTTTGGATCAAGCCATATCGCTAACGAGCTCGCAGTGGTGGTCTTCGCTTGTTGTTGGAGCCGGCCAAACCTTCCGAGAGCAGCCCTCATAGCCACGAACTCCTGGTTTTCGATCAAAGAAAGGGATGACTCCTCGTCTCTGAAGGTCGCTTTGAGACTTGCTTGCGGTTTTCTTCTTTCCCATGGTGGCGGAAGCAAAAAGGCACTAAGGAAGATGAAGCTAGGATGATGGTGCTCGGGTGTGGCGGCGGCGGATTTCTGAAAGCTAGGGTTTAAAGGCAAGAGCTGGGCAGCAAGGGTCTTTAAATAGATTTTTTAGTGATACAAACGGCCCACAAGGCCCGATAAAACACAGTGTGGGAACGCGACGGTCCATTTACCGGACGTAGCTAAAAAGACGGAGAGGCACAAATCCACACAACAGTACAAACCAAGCAGGCGATTCGAGACTTATCCGTCCAAAGACCACGGCGGGGTTATCGGATCGCTACAAGAACAACTCGTCAAACAAACCAAGAAGAAAGAAAGAAGAAAGAAAGGGCTACCTCACAAGGAACAAAAAGAGCCCGGTTATTTAAGAAAGAACTCGGTAATCTCATGAACAACAGGATCACTGAGAAAAGTAAAAGACAACTCAGAAGACAAGATTCGTTGCATTACAAGTGACTTCAAAAATAGAAGATTACAAATCTTAAAGACAAGATTCGTTACATTACAAGCGACTTCAAAAATAGAAGATTACAAATCTTACAAGACCCAACGAACTCGGCACCACGAAAAGCAAGGTAGCAAAGAGGAACGCGGACACGGCTAGGCTCTGGAATGACTACGTGTCCCAAATTGCTACTCGGAAGGACAAACCGCCATCAGCTACACTGTTTTCTTCAAAGGACGGACGCAGTGCACCCAAGGCGGAAATCGGCAGCACGGCAAGACAACATGGAGCAGAGAAGGCCGGCAGGCATCTGTCTACCCAAGACCGATGTGATGCTGCATATGGTGTTGATCTGCACCGGACAGTCTCAAGACAGGCGACGAGGATCAACCCAGAACTGCCAGATGAAGAAACGAAGCCCACATCACAAGACTTCCTCCAACTACCACCACGTACATCCTGGCACAATGCTGTCGCGGGATTAGCCTACCTCTAATCCCTATCACAAGACTTCCTCCAGCTACGACAAGACACACAGGAACTACAAAATATGCCCGGGGGCTGCTCTACTTCACAAACTACCATGTTCATGACCACAAAGGTTTCAACAGAATATCTAATAGATGAAAACAAGCACTCCGGGACAGTATTTATAGACCAAAGGAGCGACGCACATGGACTAGGAGTACCAATGAAATAAGCCTAACAAAGGACACAGTGAAAAGACAGGACTCAATAATGGATGACTCAAAGTAGAGAAAAAAGATGCTTGAAGACGGGCATATTCGGAAGAATATACCAAAGACAAAGACAACCCGTGAACAAAAGGCATTTACACTCAACCACCACCATACAACTACATCTGACAACAGCAGACTATCAAAGAATACGCCAAGACCTCGCATCCGAGTTCTTCCTGAACAAAACAACACGGATATACGCTCGGGGGCTCGGCCAGCATCATAGCTTAATCAACACTAAGCTAGGGAGCTCGGCCTTCATTTCAACTACTCCCGGGGGCTCGGAAGCAAAGACAAAGGACCAAGAGTACAAGAAACTCAAGACTACAACGACGACGACACATCAAGACTCTTCATCCGACTTCTTTTCTAAAGAGAAGAACTCGGAGAAAGCACGGGGCTGCGGGATACATAGCCCCAGAATTTTTTGAAGACAAGAATCTGGACCCTCCAACTTTTGCAAGCAAAAGCAAGAGGCTCGGGGGCTACACTCAGTGAGTGCAATTTTTTACGAAAAATTGCACCCACCCAAAAAGAACCCGGACATAAGCTCGGAGGCTGCATGCCACGAAACTACTCGGATGATGGTTTAATCCAAAACTAAAGGGCCGCTTCGGAAAGATGCCGCAAAAAACTACTCGGATGATGACATAATCCAAGTCTTGGGGACCACTTCAGAACACAAATTTTTCAAGACCCTCCAACTTTTTGTTCCAAATAGCAAGAGGCTCGGAGGCTACACTCAGTGAGTGCACTTTTTTCTTCGAAAAAGCGCACGTCACCAAAAGAAGACTTCCTCAACGCAGACCACTTCAAGACATTACGACAAAAAGAACCCGGAACGAGCCATATTCGAGTTCTTTTTGATAAAACTTCGACGAACAATCAGAGCAACTTCAAGACAAGATCCTCCAGCTCCTTGTTCCAAATAGCAAGAGGCTCGGGGGCTACAACCAGATGGATGTACTTTTTCTTCAAAAAGCACTCACCACTCGAAGATCCCAAGAAGCGTTACAAGGTTTCACTCCAAAAAGCACTCGGATGACATTTTGTTCCTACTCAACAAGATTTGAAGGAGCAAAGCGAGACTTTCAGAGCTCAACCATGAAGTGCTCGGGGGCTTGTCGATGCGGGACCCACAGGATACCCCGCAAGGGAGAGAGAAGATCTAGTTCAACTAGGATTCTTCCCATGTAATCTTAGTAGTAGAACTATTAAGTAATCCTACTAGGAAATCTCATTGTAAATCGACTAGGACTCTGGCCTCCTGACTATATAAAGGAAGGCAGGGCTCCTGAGAGACGAGGATGACAATTGTACAACATAACACTTCATAATCAATCCAACGTCAAAGGCCAACGCCGACTGGACGTAGGGTCGTTACTCGATCTACGATCGAGGGCCTGAACCAGGATAAATCGACTGTCTCCTGCATTTACCATCGAGTTCAGCATACGCCGAAGCCCGAACAATACTGCCCCGGGTACCCCTGTGGCAGGCTATCGGTGGTGAAACATCGACAGTCGGCAAGACTGGTGAGTGGTCGACTCACCTGAGCCGGTGATCTAGTGGGCTAACAATTTCTGCCATGATGTCATTTGCCATAGGCAAGATACTTATTCTCTCAAAACACAAGCAGATATTTTTGTTATCTCCTCTCATGGCAGCAATGAGTTAAAATGTGCCCCCTCCCTCAATAGCTTGCTCTAGTGTCTTTGCTGTGCAGTTTTGCTAAATTGTAATCAGTCTAGTTTCTGTTTATAGAACTGGATTCATATGTTACGGATGGTAACCAATTTCTAAGAAAATGCACTAAAATTTTCTGAACTAAACTTTCTTCTGTGCACATATTTTGGTCTTAACTATTGTTCTTCAGTTTGCATAAAAGAAAGTCTTCTTTTCTTCTCATGTTTGAATAACCTGTTTTTATTTGCATCTATATTCTATATTCATATACATTGAATCATTGAGCATACTTTGTGCATATAAGACAGTTACTGTCTGAGTTCATTGAAATGAATGTACAGCATGGTAAGTAATAGCATGCTAATTCTAATTTGTATAAGAGAAGAACATGCTTCCTCAAAAATATTTCTACACCTGAAGTTTGAAGAGATTGTGCATTGGTGTTATATGCCCTTTGTTCTTAAAAAAGAGGATAGAAACAATAAATATCATATATTTTGAGGATATAGCTGCAAGATGCATGATGGCACAATAGTTCTTTCTCGTTTTTTTTTAGTTCTCTGTCTTTCCTGACATGGGAACACCAAACAACTTCTTGATTCGGTATTCAATCCATGTTCATGTTTCGCAGGCCAAGCTTAAATGCTCAATTGACGACATCATGCAACTGCATTATTATGGTGATGGATTATGAACGCGAAGACTAGACAACTTCTTGAAATTCTAGCCTTTTGTGTCTCTTGCGTTACTCTTGCTACATTTTCTTTTCTTCAGGGATTTACATTTACTTAGCTCTTGCCTGTGGGTTGTAAACCAATGATCCCGTCCTCTGGCTTCCGTGTGTTTAAGCACTTTGATGTAGATATTTGTCAAATAGTTCTTTCGAGCTTTCTGCTATGAAAATCCTTAACGCTGCTTAGAGGGAGTGTTAGAGGGAGAACCTGTTCCGTTAGCCTAAGCGTTCTGTTTGAGGTAATCTCTGGTCTACTTTACCTTTGTAAAGCTGGTATCCTCACCAAATTGCAAACGTCTGAGCTGAGCATGCAAGCCAAGGAGTTCTGCTAGATGAGGTGGTTTCTCAGCGTATAATCATGAAAACTGATCCTTTGGGACTTTGGTTGGCTATAGAGTGCTAGTACTTGACATGGAACCATGGAAGTTCAAACAACAAACAAAAGAAGAACGCGTAAACCTGAAATGCTTTTCCAGTTCTGATTTCCTCGTTTTAGTTTCCAATCTTTTCCATATATATACTTCCAAACTAGATTGTTGGCGGTGAACAATGATTATCTGGTACAACAAATAGAGTTTCAACAATACAAGCAGTATGTGTTTATTTTTCTTTTTCTTTTTTTTAAAAAAAAAGAAGAAGCTAAGGTCAAAAGAAGCTTCTTGGGATAAAAGAACATCCATAGTGTGCGGAACTGGGGAAGCTAAAATCATGTAAAAACTGTTGTTGCCTAGGTGGCTGGTGCTGAGCTGCTGGCCAGTCACCAGTGTTTGTGTTTCCTTTTACAATCAATCTCTTTATTTTCCTTTCCCTTCGGATACCTTGATTACTACAAGGTACTTTGTATGTATGTATGTATGCTCTGTTTGCTGCAAATTAGAGTTCCATGTTTGGCACCTTGCAGCAGCTAGAGCCGGCTTGACGGCCTAATGCTGGAGATGCCAGTGATCTCCCTCGCAGCAATGAGGGTGTCGACGTCGTAGCTGCCCTCGTACGAGTACACCGACTCCACGTCGCAGAACGCCTGCACAAATTGCATATGTCCAGCACATACAATAGAACGGATCAGATCCAATTTCCCTTCCAACAAGCAACTATTGTGTGTGTTGTATAGAAGACATGTATGTGATGCATATGTCTTTAAGACTGCGTTAGCTTCATCAGCTATGGAAGGATGCTACACGAGGGCGACCAACCTTCCCAACATGGAAATCGGTGACGATGCCGTTGCCGCCGAGGAGCTCCTTGCCGAGCGCCGCCGTCTCCCGCGCCTGTTTTGTGATCCAGGCCTGCACAATCGACGGAGTGGATGTTTCAGTTTCAGGCAGCAATGCCCATGGCTCACACACCACCGTGCCTGGACAGTGTCCGACGACTGACCTTGCCCAGGCTAGCCTGGCCTGAGGTCATCTTGCCGGTGTCGTGCAGCTTGCAGAGGCGCCAGCCGAGGGCCGACATCGCCTGGATGTTCCCCAGCATCCTGATGAGCTTCTCCTGGTTCAGCTGGAACGCGGTTAACGGCGCACCAAACTGTTTCCTCTCTAGCAGTACCTGATCCATCCAATGCGAGCACCATAAAATTAATCATATATCTATATACGAACTACTCCCTTCCTTCGTCCAAATTATAGTTCGCATTTAACTTTAATCAAGTTTTAAGAAAAATATATTAAAGTACCATAGGTCCTCGAATTAATTTAGCTTGGGTTGGTATCCATATCTGCAAACTTCTAAAATGCAAATCCAAGCCCCTAATAAAGATTCTAATCATGTTGCGTAAGGTTCATATCACCAAAACTTGAGTTAATCCACATGCATAACGTGTTGACACCAAAAGTGTGGATCCACATGCAGGCCTCATCTCTCTTCCCTATCGAAAGGCCTAGCGCCCAAACATCCGGACGGAGCGTCACGTCCGGACGCAGACCCCACCCCCCGCGTCCCGCATCTTGCCCAGCACCAACGCCCGCGTTCGTCATAGGACCTGCGCCCACCCTGCGTCTGCACAGGGAAACCCACGTGGGTTGACCCACGGCTGTACCCCAGCAGCAGCGACAGGCGGCTGCAGCAGGCCGCTGTCCGCCAACCACCGGCCGTGCCGTGCAACACCCCGATCTACTTTTAAAACATCCAGATAAAACATTTGCAACATACGTCTAAAACAGATGTGTATAGGCATAGCAACATATGCAACATCCAGATCTACTTTTGCAACATCCAGATGAAACATTTGCAACATAAGTATGAAACACTTAAAACATATGCTTGAAACATGTGGATAGAGCCATAGCAACATATGCAACATCAAGATGGACACACTTGAAACAACGCCAGAAACACTTGAAACACGGCATCACCGGCGACCACGACTTACCTGGTGAGGAACTGCGGTAGCCAGTAAGCTCGGATCAGGGGACGTCGAGAGCTGCCCAGCGTAAAACTAGGCGCAGGCGCATGCCTCCCCTTCCTACTGCGGTGTCTTCGGCCGGCCGCGGTGCATGCCATGGCCACGACGGCGCGAGGTGGATGGGGGCGCGGAGGAGCGCTGGATGGGGGCTGGGTGCGGCGCACCCACGCTGGAGAAGGCCGCCGGGCTTGAGAAGGCGAGCTAGAGAAGGCTGCCAGGCTAGAGAAGGCGCGAGGTGGATGGGGCGGATAGAGAGGGCGAGCGGCACGGTGGATGCGCCTGCAGGGGCGCGGGGCAATGGCCGGCGGGGTGCCTCTCGGGCGGCTCGGCCTCGGCGCTCGGGGTGGCAGAGCTCGCGCTCGAAGTCGGAGGCGCGGAATCTTGCGTCGTGGCCTCGGGGGCTCGGGGACGGCCAGTCATTCCGGATGAATGAATGGATGACGAGTGGGGATTTTTTTTTTGATTTTAGGAGATGGAGCCTGATCCTGCGCAGGTGTGGGAGCCGCATCCGGGCACGGGTCATGGGACGGACGCACGTGCCGTAGCATTATCGCTTCCCTGTTGGCATCTGAGCCACATGTCCTCTCACCACTTCCATTGTATTCCAGTCAACCGTATGCACTTCTCGATGTCTCATTCCACATCCAATTTGTGTATTGGTTGATGCTTCCATTGCGTCGAAATGCCAGCCGCCGCTCCAAACCTTAACATAGGGTTCTGCCTCTGCCACGGATTTCTCACTTGCAACCTCAGTGGGGTGATCTTCTCCAACTCAAGTGACCTTGTCATACCTCTCTGCCGCTAGTCTCTCTTTTCTCTGGTGTTGGTGACTGGTAACTGGTAAGCACCTTAGTTCAAATGCAACGAATTTCCTTCAAGTAGCAGATGGCTTCTCCTATTCACTAATTAGTAGCAGTTGTTGGATATTGAATTCGTGTCCTCAGGTTATGAAGGCACCGTCAGTTCGACTCCTGGAGAACTTCAAATACAATCTCAACTTGGTAAGGTTGTGATTGAGGAGAGTGTTAAAGGATAACCTTGTATCTGGTGATTAGATCATGTGTGAATAGGGGATCAGGCGAATAGGTAAACGTGTGAGAAGATCACGCATGAATAGGTAAATCTGTGCATGCGTGAATAGGAATAGGTAAACCTGTGCATGCCTGAATAGGAATAGGTAAACCTGTGCATGAATAGGTAAACCTATGCATGTGTACGTTTATCACGGATCACGCATGAATAGGATTAGTTGTTTCCCTGTAACAATCACCACATAATCTCCTATATGTAAGGTGCCACGCATAGGGCTTTTCTATTATATTCATACACCACGGACGCGGCATTGCGTCTGGTGCTTCCCTGGTCGCTGAAGATGATGTTGGCAAAGCCCCAGAGACGAGTCGTTGCGAATGTTGAAGAAGTTGGTGAAGGCCCTCGTGCCGAAGGTGTTGACGAAAGGCGTTGTTGGTGTAGATGCTAAAGATATCAGCGAAGGCCCTCGTGCCGGAGTTGTTGTAGTCACCGAAGATATTGACGAAGATAGTGTCGGTGTTGACGTGGAAGATGTCGGAGAAGCTCCTCTAGCTGTTGGCATCAAAGGTTAGTCATTGCAGTCACCGAAGATGATGGTGAGGCCCCTCGCATGGACATGTTAGCATGGATGAGTCGTTGTAGTCACTAAAGTGTTGACGAAGCCCTTCCTACTGAAGTGTTTGTCGGGAGCGATGTTGGGGGAGCCCATGATGTATATGGGCCAAGTCTCCCCCTTGAATAGGCCCAACTAGTAGCTAGAGTAGTGTTATGTGAAATCTAACCTCACCAACGGGTCACTTGTAAATAGTCATTGCCTATATAAGTGCCCAAGGACATTAGGGAAATGGACTTCTCCTCCCATTCATTTCCACTTCAGTAGTGTGTTCCCTCTCCACCCACCGAACTCTCTCCTCCCTCCCTCTCTTTTATTCAGAATTGTTAGTTCCAGTATATTGGACTTGGAAATATATTCTCCTAAATATTCATGTATTTGAGGATTTGTGTTTATAAAATTTTTGTCTAGTTAAATATTTATGTGCATAATTCAATAAGAATTTTCATGTTTTCTATAAAACTATAAAATGAATAGCTTCCGCTATAGCCCGCTACAGCATTTTGTAGCTTTTGGAGAAGGTCGCTGCTAAATATCATAGCCCGCTTTTTAAAACATTGCCCTGCAACAGGAGGGTGATTGAGCAGCCTTTTGTTCCAGCAGCGGACCGGGCGTTCAAGGCATTTCGACGAGTTCCACCGCCTCGCCGCCGGCTTAGTCTGCATCTAAGCGCTGCTCTTCTGCTCCATGCTAGAGTAGTCGAGTGTGTTAGTAGTTGTACTTGATGGTGTCAGTAGTTTCCAAGGTTAGTTTCCTTGATTGACGATGTGTCATGATTGCGTCTAAGTAGCTTCGGTTATGATGTGTCAGTAATTGTACTTTGAATTTGTGTTTGTGGACCAATGCAATTTGATGTTTAGGGCGTCTGTAATGGTAATTTGTAAATAGCTAGCTAGATGAGGCATAGAAATAATAAAAAATAAATATTGTAGTGGAGAGTTATGTCAACTGTGAGAGAGGTGTTTCTGAGAGATCATACTAGACTAGTTATTTGGGAGTTACTAGCTATTTGATCTCCCTCTTTGATAGTCAATAGAATTCTTCCTAGACTAGCTATTTGGGAATCATTGGGGACGCCCTATTAGCTGTTGTGTTTGCATTAAGTCTAATGATGATTACATGTTGGTCTGCCATCTGTCCCAGTCCAATCCTGATTGGTTTTCACTTTTCAAAACCAAATTCTATTGCTTGTAAATTTCAAAGTCATGCCTCGAGTTCTCCGTGTTCGCTGTTGGGTGGCTGCGCACGAAAGCAAATACTCTACCGACCGATCGGAAGAGAATTCTCCTCCGAACCGGACATGGTTTTGCTAGGCCGGTGTACAGTATCCATGTCAGTCTCGGCAACTGTGGCCGAGACGGACTACGGACTACTCTTGCCCAGCCGTGCCTGCATAAATATTGCCACAGGAGAGACCTCTCCACCAGATCAAGTCATCGATTTGAACAGCTTAGGCTTAGCGTAATCTGCCTTGCCTGTCTCGGCGCACAAGTAGAGAAGTACCAGAAGCAAGTTAAGTACAGGGGTAGCTATAGAGATCAGGAGATCACTAAGCAGATTTGGGGACAAATTTGGCCTCGTTTGGAACCGAGGAAAACCAAAGGAAAAGTAGAGGAATTGAATCCAGAGGAAAGGTTTAGAGAATTGTTGTTCGGAATGGAGGAATGAGTCCCTGTGTTCCAAAGGAAAGGAAAGCTCTCCTTCACAAAACAGAGGAAATAAAACATCCACCGTGAGCTCTGGTTTTCGTGTATGCCCGAGGCACAGACAGAGAAGAAGCAATTAACATGTTACTTCCTGCGTTTTTCCTGTGTTGTGGATTCCTGCGTTCCAAACACCCCTTCTGTTATTTCCCGCGTTTTTCCTTTCCTCTGTTTTACCACTACACACTCACCCCATTCCTACGTTTTTTTCTATTCCCGTGTTTTTTATTCATCCATTCCAAACAAGGCCTTAAAGGTGATAGCGGTCGTGGAAACACAAGGAACAATTGATCTTTGTTGATCAAGGATGTGACCTTTGTTGATCTTGAGAGAGGTATTCAGACGACGCAGGAAGCTGGCGGGGTGGATGGACCATGATATTGGGGGTATCAAGGCACATGCTGTAAGTGTAGCGATATCTTGAATTCTTAATTAATTTCCGCTTCGAAACAATTAATTAATTTCATGTCTACGTTTGCTTATTATGCATCTAAGTACATTTTTCTAAACTTTTCTTGTTCTGCTCATCGTTTTGTAGAAGGCTTGCTTCCTGGTGATGTTTACCATCTTCGTCGCTGTCGCGGTCGTCATTTTCACCGAGATTCCTATTTGGCCAGCAGTGGGACTAACCTCATTCATCTCAGGCATGATGTTTATGGTAGCGCTTTTGAACATAGCGTTCAGAGATGACTATATTGAAAAGTGTATGTTGGAGAATGGTAGGGCTCCGAACTAAGCAGCTAGCATTTATGTTATGTCACAGACTATGTATGTAACAGAAAGGCACCAACAAACTACACACTTGTAATAAAGAAAATTCATACATATTAATTTGTCATAATCTTGTGTTGCTGGTGTATTTTCAATGGTTTGGGTACCTTGAGAACTTTCGAGGGTCCCTGTGTTGATCGGCAGGTGTATGCACGGCCCAAAGAAACAAGGAAGATATTTGTTTCTTTTGTTTCTCGTCTCAATGTATATGTATGTTTTGTCAGAACCAAGTTTATTTCAAAATTCAAACACACTTTCAAACTGGCCTTCTGGTGACAGGTGTCACAGTCCTGCTGAGAGGGGGTGGTCGGCTGCTGCTGGTGTCGCAGGGGGAAGAGGGCAGCCATGGCTAGGCCGGGTAGGGTAGGTGCAGGGAGAGGGGTGGAGGCGCAGGGATATAGGGGGTAGGGTAGGCGTAGGGAGGGAGGTGGAGGCAGGGATATAGGGGGAAAGACAGAGGGGAGCACAACTGCTCAATTCTTGCTTAAGATTATAGAATTTGACTCACAAGCAAATCAGAGGAGTCCTTATAGATTTGAAGACTCTCCTTTCCTAACAACTAATCTTAGTATTTCGTAATGGACTCTCATTTCCTAAAAAACTATATAATAAAAACTATATAATAAGGATCGATAAGTTCAAACAAACAGGTGTAAGCTTACTTGTGCTAGCACAGTGGACCGGTGGACCCACATGAAAGTAATCTTGTGACCCCGTGCTCACCTTTAAGGATGAAAACAGTACAAAAATACCCAGACCAAACCACATCATTTTCTATATTTAACCCAATATTTTCGGACAAATTAAAACAAATTCGAATTCAAAATACAAAACACCAATTTCGAAATCAAAAAACCAGAACAAAATCGGTTTAGACTTTTTTCGACCGATTTCTACTTTTAATTCGAAATATCCCAAATTCAAATTCGGAATATACCGTTTTCAAAATAAAACGGTTTTGGCTCAATATAGGCCCAGCAAGGAGCTCTATGCGTGGCTGGGAGGTTGCGCCTGGATGTTTTTATATAGGCCATTGGCTCCCTGGCTCCCGTGTATCTAAGCGAGGTGGTACTAAATGAATTGAGAAGGGAGCGCCTGGCAGCTGGCGCTTGCAGCTTGCATGCAAGAGGGAGAGGTCGCTGCATGCTGGTGCCAGCCTGCCATGCTGAGCAGCACATCGGGCAAGTGGTCTGTTGGGCCAAGCGTGAATTGAGGGAGTGTAGGGACGAGAAAGTAGCCCAAAATAGATTTTGTATTTTTGTGACGATTTTGTAATTTCTAGAAAATCAAGGACGAGGATTTGAAGTGATTTGATTTAAATTCTAAGAAGAGATTTGGGTTAGAGATTCAAGGTAAATATTTTTGGTGTCACAAATAAATTCGAGAAAGCATATCAACACATGAAAATGCATATGGTGAATTTTAATGCAAGGTTTAAAATAGTTTTGCAGAAAATAAGTTTTAAATTGTTGTTAAATTTAAAATTTTCATTTTTTAGTGAATTTTAGCATGAGGGAAAACATAGGAGTTACAACTTGATGATACAGGTCGGTA